TTCTTATTTAAGTTGAGAAATATCACACTTGATCTTGCACTTAAATTATTCAGGGCATAGGAAAATAAGGTAAAGCATCTTGTGTCTTTGTTCCAGATAAAGCAAAGCTTAATAAAATGTAGGTACCACCGTGTGTGTATGTGTGTCTTTGTCTAAAACTAAAAAACTATAATAATTAAAGACAAAAATATATATATATATATATATATATATATATATATATATATATATATATATATAATAAAAAGGCTTAAACACTAATATTCCATGGTCATATGTATATTTTCCACTAATATTATCTATATATATATATATATATATATATATATACACACTCAGTATCATCCAACCCACCTTTTTGCCAAAAAATTATTGTATGATTTGTATTTGCAAAGATATTTTAAAATTAAAAAACATAATTGCATTAAAATGCATTCAAAATTCTCAGAATTAAAAAGTAAAAATAACTCAGAATAGTTATTATTCCCATTTGTTTTTACTTTTTAATTCTGCTGATAGTTTCAAAACGCTATAAGAAAATTTGAACTGATATTTTCTCAACTCAATCACCCTAACTCCCTGTGTTTCACCCAGATATTTTTTTTTTATGAAGTTTTAGTACATTCATTGGATCTCTGAATAATAGTTTATTATTGACAATTTATTAATATTTTTCAGCCATCTTATGGAAAATAATCTTTAAAAAATAAACTTCATTGATTTTTTTGGTAAATAATTTAAAACTAAGTAAATAATTTTAAACTAAGTTTTATTAAAGCAAAAACTACCTATAGCCAGTCTTATTTTTTCAAAAAGTAATTTAAATGAAATAGAGTTGAATTTGTAAAACAAATATTCAACACGACTAATGTTTTTTATTTGACTAAAGTTTTTTTTTTTTTTCTTCAAATACAAATATAACATGAAATTTAAACATAATCGACTTTCAAAACTAAATTCTCAATGTATCTTGCTTCTACTCTCTTTCCAAATAGTAATTAAATTAATTTATGGAGAAATGTTTGCTTCCTTTTCTTTAAAAAGAAAATTATCACTAATGTAATGTTTAAAAGTAAAACTTAATTGAAAAAAAATTAGATATGTTTAAATATGTCTTAATTTAAGTTTATTTACTTTTTATTAATAATAATTTGCAAAAAAGGTTAATGAACTTAGATAAATTGATTTGAAAACATCATTAACAGTATTTGTTAATATTTAATTTGAAAGTAGTGTCTTTTTTAATAAAAATACAAGGGTGCTCAGCACCACCACCCCTACCCCCACCTACGAGTGTGGTATTGGTAGTGTAGTATTTTCCTAAATTTAGTTATTTTGTAACAAACCCAGAAAACAATGAAGTTTATTTTTTAAAGCTTGAATAAAAAATTATTTTCCATAAGATGGCTGAAAAATATCAATAAATTGTCAAATTTTCCTATAGTGTTTCGAAATTATCAGCAGAATTAAAAAGTAAAAATTTCTGTTGAATTATTTTTTATATTTAATAAAATAAAATTTTAATAAATTTAAATTTTCCAAAAATATTTATGCTTTCAAAAATATATTTTTATATATTATATATAATTTTTCTATTGTAGACAAGACCTGAAAGATAGTTTATAACTTATATATATTTGAATTAATATTTTTTCATGAAATCAATCTCTGTATTTACATTTTTTACTTTACTGACAAAAAACAATTTAAGTGTAAATACCTTTTTTTGAAAAAGCAATATAAAACCAAGTAAATTATTTTAAATGAAGTAATTAGTAAAAATAATTTACTGTAAAATTATTAGTAAAAATGGCCTAGGCTATATTTATGAGGTATTATTTTGGTTAAATAAGCCTATGAAAACTTTATTTTATCCTTTGTGCAACCTGTGTCTTGTAAACATCTTATTTGAATAGATATTTATTTGTACAGTAGTACAAAATGTGGCACAAGGCCAAAAAGGGGATTGGGGGAAAAGGACGGTCTTCTTCTGTCTTAATTCTAAATTTAGCTAGCCACAAACACTTACCCAAACATACCAACAATGGTCCTAACACCAAAACAACACATTCTCTCCTACCTTTCTTACTACAACCATCATAATACCTCAATATTTCTGTGAATTCCTAACTAGTCCCCATATGTACATTTCTTTGACTGTTGGTGGGAGGGGAAAAAAAACAACAATTTTTAAAAAATCCCCAATGAGTATTTAGAATATGATTAAATTCTATTTACATGGAAACAAAATAATATTAGTAATAAGACCCCACACACACACAATCCCTAAATGTGGCAGAAAAATCAGTTAACTAGACAAAAAAAATGTGGGATTATAATAGTATAAAAACATTCATTCATCCCAAGCACTCACACAAACACGCACTCATTCAGACATAACAACAAATAGGAAAACACACACATGAAACGAAACGCATCCCGCATCTACCAGAGAACTGACATCACTGACCACTTAACAAGGAAGGGGATGGGAAATTAAATTAAAGAAAAATAAGGACAGAAATAAAAGGGGCCAATGAGCATACATAACCTAGCTAAGTTAACCGGAAAAAGCAAACTAAAGACTCAAACCAAACCTAAACTAGCCTAATATCGGGATGAGTTGCCTCTGTTCAACCCAGGAAGGATAAAATCCTGTACCTAACCAGCATCAAAGTGCCACTCCAGGTCAGCCCCTTTCACTCTACACAATCGCACAAGATTTACACACCTTTTACCGAATTCTGATGAAGGGAGCCACCACTTTTCCATCCTAATCTTGACTTTAAGCTGATGCTTAAAGTACAAGATCAGTTGGGAAGAAGTGAACTTCTCACCTACATAGCATCTCTTCTGACATGTCTAGCAAGCAGTGGAACACATTGTTCAGTCTTCATCAATGGCAGTGCCACATTGCTACAAACAGAAGAGGCCTCAAGGACAAAGAACTTTCCCTGCAGCATGCGAACCATGAGGCCTTCAACGAACTTACACAACGGTGTTACCACCCTGTAATGAAAGAAAGCGTGACCCAGGGTCTCAACCTCCCCATCAGAGCATTGGCAGTTTGGAGCTTTTTCCAAGCTCACTGAGCAAAGTTTTTTGGCTGAGCAAAGTTTTTTGTGGTGACACATCACTAGCCAGGTGAGGGATGCCTCATTGTTATTGAGACATTTCAACCCAGGCACTCAAGGCCAGATTGAGCGAGCCTCTTGCTTCGTAAGACCGAGCTTGTCAATCAGGTCATCATGAACGGACCCCTGACTAACACTTGATATAATGCCCTATGAGACAACACCTGGACGTTGGAGAGGCTATTGACGCCTGTAAGAGGCGTTTCAGAGCAAGACGACATTCACGGTAGAAGGAGCATTTGGCTCAGGGTAAATTACTTAAATAATTAGGATATAAAAATTCTGATTATATTTAATACCAATGCAACCGGAAGTTATCACATGAAAAATATTAATGAAACAAATATATAATTTGAATTTATTGCATATAATTTTAGTGAAACAAAGTACTAATATTAAATGTGATGAAATTAATAATGAATATTATCAATGATAACACTTTTAATCTGCATAAATAGGCTTTTAGTTTTAAATAATGGCAATATGAAAGTTACTCTCTAAAGTCTAAGCTAATATAAGATGCAGGGGAATTTTAAAAGATATTTTTAGTAAAAAAAAAAGTGCGCTTTATATGCCGTCAAATACAGTAAATCACTTTCAGTGTTCAGGACTAATTGAAAAAATTGGAATAGACTTCTCTTCTTGAATATATAAATGAGCTTATTATAAAAATAAATTTGTAATTTACAGAATTTGACTTAAAGAACATTTTTAAGCATCTGTAATTAAAAAAAAAAAGATTTGTACATAATTCCCTCCAACTGATCTCATTAGGAAAAAGGGAGACCTTCAGTCATATTCTTCAGAAATCTAGACCCTGGGTCTTTGCAACGGCATCAGATTGATTATCAACATATTACTGAATTTCAACATAGCAATGAAACCTAAGTATTTCTTCCGAACAACGCTAGTAAATAAATAAATGAATTTATAATTGTATACTGAATAAGATAATTTTAGAAAAATCTTTGGAAATATGTGCTCTATTTCACTCTTAGTCTTATTTTTTCGTGTGTATTTTTTTAATTTGGGGACAGGGTTGTTAAATCTTACATTAAAAAAGAAAAATCCCTAAGGTAAAGAAAGAGTGAAGAATAAGATGTTATTTAAAAAATTTATGCAATCTTTCCAGTCAAGTTTGATCTTCAAACAAAAATATATGCAATATGTCAATCGTTATCTTTTGTCTTCTTAATTGCGGTTCTTTTATTGTCCTCGCTCTTTTACTTTTTATTCTTTCACACTCAGTAACCTTCAGCCCCTGCGTTTTACTTTTATTGGTTTGTTATTGTCTTGCTTGGAATGAAGTGATAAAAAAAAAAAAAAAAACATGGAAAATTCATCCCGAAACTTACCAAGAATAATTTAAAAACTCAAAAAACATATTTTTCTAGAAACGATATTAGCGCTTGGGAAACAAAAATAGAAATTTACCGTATATTTTTTTTTTACCGATTTGAATTTTTTTTTTTTATTGTAAAATTTGATCTTTTATGATTAATTTGGCCCTTGGGTATCTCCCATTTTAAAGTTCAAAAGAAATTGAAACACGTTTTTCGGGAAGTAAAATTTAATTTTTTGTAGGTAATCTTTGTTATAAACTTGCAAGGCGATTGTTTTTTAAGCATGTGTTTGCTCATTTGAAAAAGATCATGTTAGAAATATTATGTTTTTAATTTGGATATTTCATGCATGTTCAAAATGAGTGTCACGCTTTTAAAAAATAAACGGACATTCTCTCTAGTCTAGTAGCATAATAAAATGAAAAGTTGAAAATGTACTCATTTCAATACTGAAGGGAGATAATTAAATCTACCCAGCACTTCAGGTTGCCGCTTGTTGCCTTAGTGATCATCAATTTTAAAAATGGCAGAAGAAAACACACCTCGCAACAATGACCCAAACAAACTCCCACCGATATCTCCTCGTTCTTTGCCATCTCTGTCAAAACCGAAGAAGAAAAAAAGGGCTGTAAATAAGTCAAATGGGGAAATTAACAGCAGTTTTACAAAGTCTCCCGGTTCTGATTTGAGTCCAGATAAACTTCAAACCGAAGAAATCTTTAAAAGTCCAAGCAATCGAGTTCTTCCACCAATTCAAACTTCTCTTTCATCTCCAGAAAACGTATCGAATGAATCTCAACTGTCCGAAAAACGGAAAAAAAAGAAAAAAGTACCTTGTTATTTTTTGTCTTTGAATCCAAATGTTTTAAAGTTTTTAATCGACACGATGTCATAATTTTCTTGAACTTTGTTTGCAATTAAAAAGTTTTTAAAAAAATTAAGGATTTTTAAAATTAAAATCCTTAATTTTCTAAAACATTTTTTAAAATTTTAACATTTTTTTTCATTTAAATTTTAAATGGCAAAGATATGTTAGTGATTTAAAAAAAAAAAGTAAATTAAAAAAAATATTACTTGCCTTCCCCAAAAAATAATTTAAGAACCCATAGTCAGAAATTATTTTTTATTTTTAATTTAGTGGAATAAAGTGAAAACAAAAACCACTTACTCTATTTTTTTACAACTGAAAGCAAATTGTTAAAAAACAAACAAAAAAAAATGTAGAAGAAACAATTTGCACATTTAATTTATAGCAAGTCATCAAATACAACTTGACATTTTTTCATTTTCCAAGGAGTGCGAAATCCGAAACAAAGTCGCATTTCAAGTGACCTGCATCATGCCTACACGGGGATAGGTCTAAAATGCTCAGCTCTCGATACTTCCTTCTTTTAGGACAGTGATTCTTGACATGAGCCTGATAAATTTTTAAAATGGGCCTAGAGTTGACCCAAATAAAAAGGGTGCGCTTTGAAATTCTTTTTCCACTGGCGTATTAAAAGAAACTGCTTTCTTAAATTCAACTTTTGTAAATATAAAATTTTAATTTAAAAATGTATTTCCAATTTACATGGAATTTCTACTTGTGCTTATGTGGGCCTGAAAATTTTTTAACACCAAAAAATGGGCCACGAAGAAGACACGGTTGAGAAACACTGCTCTCTCGGACGTCAGCTCAGGAATTTAAAGACTAACATTGACCCTACTTACTATTATTTTAAATGTTGCCCAGGAAGTGTAGTTCCTCTCATTGGTCACTCTTCCGTACCGTAATGAAATATGTAAAGTTTTTAACAGAAGTTCTGGTTGGGTCATTTTTTTTTATGTGAAAATATATAGTCCAAGAATGATTTATTGTGACATCTAAGTTGCAAAAAGTTGAAGTAAAAATACATTTTATTTTTCTTACATTTCCCAAGAAAAATGACGTGTGTGTACTTGTTATTAGTTATTTTGTGGTAGTCAGCATGAAAACTGCAGTGAAAAATATGATTTTTTTACACTGAGGGTATAAGAATGTTAAATTTTTCTAAATTAAACTAGTGACACATTTGTTCATGTCCAGACTTAATTTTTTTTTTCAATTTTTTAACACAACCTCTTTTTTTGAAACATAAATTAAGTTTAATTTTTCTATCATAATTGTAAAAAAAAATATTTAAATCATTAAATAAATAAAATAAAAAAAAAACGACAGTATTGAGGTATGTAAATTAAAAATTTAATATATGTAAAAAAAAAAAGTATCATACCAAAGTAATGTTGAACATGATAAAATGAAATCCTTTGCATGGAAATGTCTTAACCCTTGAATCTGTCAAGAACTTTTGGTCGGCTGTTCCAACTTTATTTCTTAGATTTAAAATCTATTGTTGGGTGAAAGTGTTCAATTATTCTATGCACATGAATATATTAAACATTCCATAGGTAATGAATTTCTTTAGTCCAATCATTGCAATAAAAAATATAAATTATATATTTAGCAATAAATACAAAATGAATGTTGCTAAATGTTACTGGTTGCCATTATCTGGTCATGCCATCTTTATTCTTATGATCTTATCTTTCTTTATTTTTATGTGCCATGTCCTTTCAGGACATAGGTGATCATGGCTCTCCACCTCCCTCTATCCCTTGCAGCTCTCAGCAAGCTCCTTCCCTCTGCTTCCACCACATTCTGTCATCCATTTGCTCAAGCTCATCAGGTATGTCACGCACTGCTTTCCCTTGTCTCTCTTTCCCTCTATTCAACCCATGAGTATCAGATTCTCCAGGCCCTCCTTCCTTATTATGTGTCACAGAAACTTCAGCTGCTGCTTTCTGATGTTAAGTATAAGCCTTCTCCTTGTTTGTAACCTCTCTAAGACCTCATCGTTGCTCACATGCTCGGTTCATGATATCCTTAGTATCCTTCTGTAGAACCATATCTTCATCGTCTCGAGTCTCTTCTTCATCTTTGAGGAAATCGTCCAACATTCACTGCCGTAACAAAAAACAGATGTCACGTAACTGCTCAGTATTCTTTTCTTTGTTACCAAAGCAATCCTGCTGTTTCACAATACTCTGATCAGCTTTTGAAATGTGTCCTTGGCCATCCCAATACATCTATGGATGTCAGTGTCGCTCATACCGTTCTCTGTCAATACAGATATTTCTATATCCCAGATATTTAAACTTCTATGTCTTCTTTAATCTAGTGTTCCAGACCTGCAAATCGCATTTTGACCTCTTCTTCTTACTGATGACCATGCATTCTGTCTTCTTGTAGTTTATGCTTAGTCCTTTCTTCTCACTCTCCATCGCTACCTTCTGTAGGAGATTTTGTAATTTCTCTCCTGTGTCTGCTATCAGTACTGTGTCATCTGCATCTCTTAATGTTGTGGCTGCCAATCCTCAACCCGGGAGGGTTTCCAATTCTCTCAGAACTGCCTTGCTGTATAGGTTGAATAGGTTGGGTGAGAAGATGTATCCTTGTTTTATGCCCCTTTCTATTTCCATATATTCACTGAACTTGTTCCATATGTGTATGCATGCTTTTTGTTGCCAGTATAGGTTATTGATTATTGTGATACCCCTCCCGAATATATCACGGTTGCTGATCAGATCCTTGTGGTGTACTTTGTCGAAGGCCTTTGCGTAGTCTATAAAACAGGTACACGTTTTTCTACATCTGTATCGCACTTTCTGATAACATTCTGAGCATGAATATCGTGTTCCTTGTTCCAGTGTCTTTAACGAACCCACACTGTTCTTGTCCTATCTCTAGCCTGATTCTGCTGCATGTTTTATTCAACAGAATACAGATGATGAGTTTTGTCATGTGGCTCATCAGGCTTAACAGAAACATGATCTTATCACTCACCTTAAAAAATGATACAGGGAAAAGTGTATTTGAAAAGTATTTTGGCAATAGGTGACAAAAATTAACTAAAGCAGAAGCTGGAATACTGCCGCATTATTGACATTGATTTAAGATTTAGTAGCAAGTTTTATTAAAATTTCTTGCACCTTCAATTGTGTGTCAGTTTGTCATGTAATTATTATCATATAAATGTAAGAATTAGTTTAGAGCCACACTCCATTAATATTTCATTAATATACACAAATATGACTCAAACCAGGTTGTTATTAAATGACAGCCATTATTTTGTTGAGAGAGTATCTTTGGTTTTCTGTATAGTTGGTTCCAATACAGGTATTTTTTATTGTTATAAAATGGATTTTTCTTAATTCAAAAAAAATTCTATCAATATGTACATACAAGATTTTGAATAATCACTATTCTGTAGTTTGATAAATAAAGTTTTTTGTATTAAGTAAAATATTTATTTTACTGGCATTAGTTAAATGGCGGAATTTGTAAAGTATACTTTTAATAATGCAACATTATTACCTGTTGATATATTTATTTCTGATATTGTTTTGATTTAGAGTGAACAAGGCACAGTTTCTTATAGTGAAGAAACATTAACAGAGAATGGTTTTGATGAGCCACTGACTAATGGAACACCAAGGAAAAAGAAAAAGAAAAGAAAGAAGAATGCAGATGATGGAGAAGAAGTAGCTGATGAATATCTTAATACACTTCTTTATGACTTGGGCAGCATTGAGGAAGATGTTGTGACAAGTCCTGAGCCTCCTGCAGATATTCCAAGTTCTTTAGTGACTCCTACCATCCACAGTCAGCCTGCCGATATACTTTACATTGAAACTAATCGTGAGTTTTTATATTTTTTATTTTGCATATTGTTTGAATTGGATAACAATTCATATGTCTGTTTTAAATTATAAAACTATGAAATTAAAAATACAAAACAAAAATAAAATATTAAAAAAAGGTTTCCTAATGTTCAAAATAACTGGACCATTTTATAGGCTCTAAAATTTTTGAAATGTCATAAATAAAATTCCTTTGATATGTTCTGAGCTTTTTAAGTGCAACAGTTTATTTTCTAAAGCTGATAAAGACAGACCCTTATTTTAAAGAGAATAAAATAGTCTGTTTCAGTTTCCTATAAGAAAATACAAAAGTTATATTGTTAGAATGACTGGTTATACTAATGCTCTTTTATAGACTTAGTTATAATGTCAGATCTTTCAAAAATAAGTTAATGATAAAACAAATATGATAATTATGATTCTATGAAGTCTATTTATTTTTCAAAGCAGAAATTGTAAAGAATTATAACATTTTGATATATATTTCTTTTAGCATTTACATGAAGGTTTATAAAATTGTTTTATGGCTAAAAGTACTATATATTCAGTGCCTAGTAACCCTGTTTTTAAAGTAGGTAGAAACAGGCACCTTCCTTAATAATTGGGGTTCATGGACATCCTGCAGGAATCTTTGTTTAATGGACTTTGGTTGATTTCAATTCATCCAACTGCTTAATTAGTGTTTTTATTTTTACATAAAAATGAATGCTGACCTCTAACAAGTACTTTGACCAATTATTTATAGCAGATCTGTTATATAAGTTTATGTCCCAACTCCAGTAAAGTTTGTTATTCAGTTTGAATTCTGATTTAACAACATTTTGCTTATGTGAATGAATATAAGTATTTTATGCATTTATAAGAAAACTAGTTCAAATTTTTGTTCATGAATACTTTTTTCACAAAGTGTAAAATGACCTAATTAGGGAGATATTAAAGAAAACTAACAAATGAGTTAAACAAAGGAAGGTTTTTGCTATCCACATTTTGGGGCAATTTTCATGCATTTTTTAGCTCATGCGAGCTAAAAATTCTCCTGCACTCAATCTTCAGTTATCCTAACTTCATAAGTATCCCTTGAGAAAACATAAAATGGGTAATGATGATGCTGTACATGAAACTACTGAGGAGGACAATAAATTTTCTCTATTCTGTAATTAAATTCCTATATTCATTTTTTTTTCTGTTCCTCTTTGGGTTACTTAACTGACAACACTTTTTGTTGATTCTTCAACTTCTGTAGGAAAGTTCAAAGCTACTCCCAAATCCAAAGCAATCATCCATTCTACTGAACCTGTTCCAGTAACAGAAAACCAGTTTCATCCAGTTGGAAGTATCCCTCAACAGACAACATTAGAATTTGCAATCAACACTCACCAAATTTGGAAAGGTTTATGTTTATTCATCCATGGCCTTACTGCTGGAATTGGTCTGTGGCATATTGTTCTGGTTACAATACTCAGTCGTAAGGGGTACCAGGAGTTTTTAGAAATCTATGCTGGGCTTGCCCTCCCCATGCAGAGTATCTTTTATACTTTGCTAGTTATTTGTGTGGTATCTGTTTGTGACAGGTAAGTTCATTTGGTAATTTGTTTTTTAATGATTTCATCCTATGAATATTCTTTCCTTAATGTCCTGTTTTCCACTTTAAGATGAAAAATTCCAAATAATGGAGTATATATCATAAAAATATTTCTTATATTTGACTATTGATGTAAAATTTTTAAGTTAAAATTGTAGCTTATAAATTTCATGGACTTCTTATATTATGTCAGTCAGTTATGTGCCATGCGTGATATACGCTTAAGCAATACATGACTGATGAGATATTTTTCCTGCAGTAGGTTGTCATTTCTTTCTGCAATAGACCAGTTGCCATCCAAGCCTATAGAACCTGGTCTGTCCTGCTATTTACCTATAGCTGGGGGTAGAAGAAAAGGATTCATACCTTTTCCAAGGCTATTAGCACATAAGTGAATGTAATGAATTTGACTGGAATTTGAACTCGGCTCTCTGATTCTTAAATCCTAGCCACTATCCATTACTCCACTATGTACAAATTCAAATTGAGATGTTATAAACACATAAGCAGAGCTTTATGTGCTCTACTATCTTTGGAGCTGTTCCCATTCCTGCTCCCATACCCAAAATTGTAGCTGGCTCCCCTCACACTCCCTGTTTTTTTCAAAATGGAGTTGCTCCAGCTCCAACTCCATTAAAAAAAGAGCAGCTCCTTTTCGGCACTCCATAGTTAAAATGTACCTTCTTTCATAAACATTGGACATTTTTGCAATTAATAAGCTAGGTATGAGATATTTTGGTAAATTTAATAAGAACTAACATTTAGCCTGTCAGCATACCCATTACCCATAAAAACATACCAAAGTTGCCCCAATGTACTTCCTTATAAGGCATATGTCATTCCTAATTCCAAAAGAATTACCTCAACAAACAGCAAATTTATTTTTATAAATTTTATTTTATCATAAGCTGGAGTTTAACTTTAGTAATAGTTGTTTTTTGAATTTTCTATCTTTCAAGCTGTGACGGCTTTTTCCAAAAATTCCTCCTCCAATTTCAAAATGACAAAGCATCCTTGAAGATTTCATTTTAGCATTAGTTGAAAGCTAAATGAGTAAATTTACTATTTCCAGTCAGTAAAATATTCTGGTGTATTTTAAATAAAAATTATATAGATTGGAATCTCAACTTCTTGGCTGATTTAAGAAAATTTTCTTAAAAGCAGCAATTTTCTTAATTTAAAAATTTTTTTAAACAAAACTATTTATATATGTTAAAAAGTAAATTAGAATTTTATTTCAGGACTAAAAAGGTATCATTTCAGACCAAGAATCAATTTTATTCAACATTTGGATGAATATCGAGAGAAATAAGTGAGAAAATCCTACGGAAGATATTACTTGTAAAGATTCCATTTATTTTTTTAATAACTTTCTTTAAATAATAATGATGATGATAAAAATAATAATAATAGTAGTAGTAGTGATGATGATGATGATAATAATTATGATGATAATGGCAAAATTGTGTACAAAAGTAAATTGTCAGTAAATTAAAAAGAAAACATTGGTTTATTTATTTCATTCAGCAATGAAAATTTGTCATAAAAAACGAAAAAGTTCAAACCTTTCTTCCCCCACATCCATATCTACAGGCAGCTTTTATACTTTTCTCTCTCTCTCTCTCTCTCACACACACATAACATGTACATATCTAATAAAAAATGACATCAAAGACTTTCTACACTGTTTCTTGCAACTTTAAAGAAATGTCCCTGACATCAGAATGGTAACACCTAGGTGTCAAAGTTACTTGCCTCTTCACCAAAACCCGGGTAGAAGTTGAAATAGTTACACATGAAAATGGAAACTAACACACACACACACAGACATACACTTTCTCACTCACTCATTCTCTCTCTCTCTTTTTCATACATTTACCACAGATATAATAATAAACAATGACTCAAAGAGTTTAGCTCAGATTTTCCTTTCTTTTCTTTTTTTATACAAAGTAATGTTTAAAAATAATTCAAATAATTTTGGAGCAAGGACCCTGCTCTTTAGTCCCAAATAGAGCTGTTCATACTCCACTCCAGTTGAATATAAAATGAGCCCTCTTTTCCTTTGCTCCAGTAAAAAGGAGCACGCTCCTTATACTTAACATCAGAAAGTGTTATAGTGGAACACACCTATTCTATAGTTAATAGACTCTCCCACCTATAATAAGTAATAGTAGTAATAGTAACGAGTCAGTCGCCAGTCGCTCGGTGAGTTGGTCAGTCAGTCGATGCCGGACGACCGTTAGTCGGATATTAAAGTATCAGCAACCACCACTATATTTCTCTGCGTCATTACCTATTATATCAAGTTGCTAACATTTTGTACGTCGAACCTATTTTAGAACCGACTTAGTACAAATACAAGCCTCCACTGTGAAACTACTCTACAACAGAAAGAGACTGTTGAAATTTCTAGGGCACATAATGAGGAAAGAGGGTTTGGAAAATTCAATATGGCTGGATACATTCACATCAGAAAACACTGAAGAAGAAATAGATAAGTTGTACAACATTCTAGAAAATACCAAATCTCAGAGCAAGTCACAAAAAAATCGTCATCATCATTGGTGACATCATCATCAACATGGGAGACCAAAACACAAAATAGGAAAGGAACTAGATAGTGAAATAGTACATGTGGACTTGGATCATGCAATGTACATGGTGAAAATTAGTTCAAATGATGTACAATGAATGGCTAGTTAATAGCCAACACTTGATTCAAACAACATCCAACCAAGATGCCTAGAAATTTGGAAAAGTACAGGAAGAGTCACCAAGAACCAAATAGACTAATTGGTCATAAACAAATAATTTTGCACTGTAAAGCACAAGCACCAACTTCAAAATTGGTCACTTTATGCAAATTAAGAATAAGATTACCAAAATTTAAAAAATTAAACAAACAATGCCTGAATTTCCACATGAAAAACTCCACATGCAAATAATGATATGCAGCTGCAGGTAAGAAAAGGTTTGAATCTTTTGAACATATTGGGGATTCAAAGTAGAACATCTTGAAGGGTGCACTAGTTACAACAGTAAAAGAAGCCATCTCGAGGAAGGAAAGAGAAAAAGAACTGGATAAAAATTGAAATTTTTAACCTAATGAAGGAGAAAAAGCAGGTAATGTCAAGAAATGGAACAGAATAAGTCCAAGCAGTCTGAGAAGGAAAGGCTAATTAAGAAATGTGCAATAAACAGAAGAACACAGATGCAATAGGAATGCAAAAAATGATCAAGAAAGTATCAGGGCAGAAAATATGCTCTTCACCAGGCTGTCTAAAATCCAAAGAAAGAACTATCATGATGGGAATAGAAAAGATACTTCAAGTGGAAGTAATGTACAGAGATCTTCCATGACAACAAGAAACAATCCATAAAAGCTTAGAAGAACACGATATACTAAAATTTGAGAAAGAACAAAATTTCCAAGATGAAGAAGAACAAAGAAATAAATCCAGATTAAATTATTATAGAGATGCTGATAACCTTAATTGACATAGGGAGTGATAAGTTTATTGGCGTAATAAACAAAATATAAAATAATGGTAAATACCAGATTATCTAAGTAGATTAATTTTCATACTGTTGCCAGAAAAACTAAAGAATGAATGCAGGCTTTACCAGCCAGTCAGTTTGATGGCATACTTAACAAAAATAATAATTAGGATACAAATGACTAGATCTCAGAGCAGACTCAAACCAAAAATAGGAGAACAATGTGATTTTCTTCAAGATGCTGCAACTAGGAATGGTATATTCATAATAAGAATTCTGTCAGAATGAATAATAATAACACATAAAGACCTTTACTTGTGTTTCATAGATTATACAAAAGTATTTGATAAAGTACAACATGAAAAAACTTTTGAAATGTTTGAGCTACACAAAAAGGATGTACAATCTGCAATCTCTATTATGAACAAATGACTTCTATATGAATAGACAAGTTAAGCAGATACTCCAAAATAGAAAGAGGAGTGCAACAAGGATATATTTTCTAACTGGATATATTTCTCATATTTCAAGAGGATCTGAAGAGAATTAGTTGACCTACCAGGATTTATTATCAGCAGACTTAACCTTAACATCTGCTATGCAGAGAATACAGTACTGATTGCAAATTTAGAAGGAAAACTGAAAGAACTAGAAGACAAGGTAATCAATGAATGCAAATTTAGAAGGAAAACTGAAAGAACTAGAAGACAAGGTAATCAATGAATGCAAAAAAAAAAACTAACAATTAATTGTATAAAAACAGAATACATGGTGATGAGTAAAAAAGATAGCCCAATATATGAGTTACACATTGATGACATCAAAATTAAATGAATGCAGAAATTCAACTACTTCAGCAGCTGAAAAAAAATTGAAAGGGATTCAGAATGAGTTGTGGTGAACTTTTATGTAACCAAATAGAATCATGTTTACATTGGTATTCATCCCATTAAAAAAGTTATGAACATAAAATATTCAAATAAGTACTGTAAAAAGAAAAAATATTTATTTTTTGCGTTGTGTTTTTGATCCAAGTAATAAGTGAATGGTATCAGAAAAAAATGTTTTAAAATTACATTGCATTTTTATGCCTTGACACTTGCTTATTTGATGGATATAACACGTTAAGTTTGCAATCCAAGAACTTAATTCATAGCTAAGATAGTAATATATTTTCCTCTAGAGCCAGAAATGTTTGATCTAAGTAAAAGTTAGAAATTCAAATGCTGACTTTCAAGGCAAGCAGCTTGGCCGTTCCCCTCCACACTTTATTGGCCCTTGTGCTGTAGTTTGCAATGCATTTGTGTTGTATGTATTTTTTAATTTTCTGTATATACTGCCAAAAAAATTCTGTTTATTGAGGTGATATCTAATGAATGTCCCGAATCAAAAATTACTTATGTCATAGAAATCTAAAATGTTATTTTTTTGTTTTTGTTTTTTAAAGGTATGACATAAGCAACATAACACACAGGTTCCTTTTGCGTTCATTAACCCTGCAGACTGGGGCTGTCTCTGTCATTATCTATTTTATATGTCTGATTCTCAGTGTCAGTGTAGCCAATATTGATGACAAAATGTACTTGCATAACAATAACACTCGACTTTTCAATACTGATAAGGTAAGTAGAATAGAAAATCATCTTACTATAACTTAAATCTTTCAAGATTGATTAAACTGGACTGAACAGTAAATAATTTTGTTCATGTGAAATCAACTGCATATAAACATTACAAATATAGGAGATATTAAAATCATTTAAGTACATAAATTGTATCTGCAAATGCAATTTTGCATATTTTTACTACTTCTTGCATTTTATTATTTTTATTAAAAAACTTCTAACTACTATGTCAATGCAAATCTAGTTAATATACACTTGTAAATGCAGCATGGGGACTAAGTACTTTGCATTATCAGAGAAAAAACATTTAAATGTGTACAGTTGACTCGATAAAAGCCAAGTCAGCCCTCCCCGACTCGATATTCTAGCAGTATTTATACTGGCCCGAGGACTACCAGTGTTCTTTAATTGGCGTCCCCGTGTCAACGGTCTTCCTGTATCTCTACATTTCCCCCCCTCCTATGACCACAATTTAGTGGTCACTTGTCTGGATAGCTCCGAGTACTCATGCATTGGACCCCGCATTTGTGGGGACAATGGTCTTGGTGGCCGTGTAACTCTCGTGCTTCGCCGTAAAATAAGGCTTGATGGGTGTTGGTTTTCCTCCACTTTCATATCTGTGTGGTCCTGGTCCGCTATCACCTCATCATCAGTCACATCCTCCTCCATCATTTCCGGTATGTCCCTCGGGGGTTCAATACTAATTGTCCTCGGTCTCTGTGGGGGTGGTTGTGGGGTTGATTGTTCCGGCAAATAGTCTGGTATATCTACTACCGGGAAGATTTTCCGGATGAACCGATGATTACGTAGTGTAATTCTTCCACTGCCATCCAATCGTATGTGGTACTGTCTGTTGCCCATGGTCTCGACGAACCTCCCCGTTTTCATCCATCGCCTTGGATATGGCCCTTCCTGATTTTGTACCTGCACAGATTCACCAACCTGAAGCTCTTGGAGTGGGTGGCTGTGCGTATTGTACTGCTTTTGATTTAGCAGGTGCCTCTTTGCCATCGCTCTTTCTTTCGACTCCTTTGTCTCCCTCCACCGTTTGTGGATCTGGTACTTTTTATGGAGTAAGGGGAGGTGGTCTTTTATTGGTCGACCGTACAACATTTCCGCTGGCGACAGGCCAAGGTCCTGATGAGGTGTGTTCCTGTGGGACATCATTGAACGCGCCACCCGATCATGGCGCAAGTGACCATACCCATCGACACAGTCCATCAGTGTTCTTTTGGCTGTTTTTACGGCCAGCTCGGCTCGGGCATTGCTTTGCGGATAGTGTGTGGATGATATGCGTTTTTTTACACCCCAATCTTTTAGGAATGAATTATATGCCATAGAGTCGAATGGTGGTCCCCCGTCCGATGATATTTCCTCAGGCGAACCGTACGTACAAAACCAACTCCTTAGTGCATCACATATTGCTGTTGCTTTCCCGAAGGAAGTGGGGCCACTTGATCCAGCCGTGTACCGGTCTGTGTACACCATATAGCTTTTTCCATGCATGTCAAACAGGTCTGTGACTGTCTTTTGGAAGGGGAATTCCTGGTTCGAAGGTGGTATCAGCAGTTCTCTGGGTTGGGACGGCGCAATAGAATTGCATTTCTGGCACTGTGCCCTCGTTTGTCTGGTGCTGGCATCTAAACTGGGCCAAAATAGTCGCTGTCTTGCGTTGGCCATCATCCCATTCACGCCTTGGTGTGCAGAGTGTAATGCTTCCAGAACCTCTGCTCTAAGCTGCTTCGGTATTAGAATTTTACTCCCTTTTATGGGTACCCACTCCAGAGAGTACAATTCGTTTACCATTGGCCAAAATTGTCGAATTTTCGACGGTAGTTCGTAGCATGACTTTGGGAATCCATCCTGTATATACTTCGTAAGCGTTTGGCATTCCTCGTCAGTAGCTGCGCCACAATTCTCTCCCAGGTTATAGCTTGCAGCTTAGGGTCGTGTGTGTAGGCTGCTATGATTGATGCCTGTATAGCGCGATCGATCTGCTGAATGCCATCAATGGTAGCATCTTCGCTGTTTACTGGTGAGGCCGGGTATCTGGAGATGCAATCTGGTGCAGCGTTAAGCTTTCCTGAAACGTGTTTAATTCGGAACTTGTATATCAAAAACCGCTCCTTGAAAGCAAACAGGCGGGGGTTCTTTATATTTTCAAGGACTTGATCCGAAAATATTTTCACCAGTGGCTGGTGATGCTCTGTGACCAGCAGATCTGGGCATCCCAATACAAACATTCTACAGGATTGTAGTCCGTATATTAAAGCTAAAGCCTCCCCTTCGAGAGTAGCGAGACTCCGCATCCTTTGTAAATCGGGACCCAGCCAATATTATTCTCCAATGGTTCTCACCACAGTTGGGGCCTGATTCTGTTGGGCATTTGCAGTGTTTTTTGAAAAGAAAATAGCCGATGCCAGTTTTGCTGTAATCAGTCGAGAGGCATGTCGCCCTGTTCATTTCAAATGTTTTTACCCCCTCCTCAATCTTCCGAACGATGTTTCTTTTTGATTCCTCGAAAAGATTGTCTAGGGTGGCATCCCAATAGAACTTGCGGTCTTTTCAGATGTAATAACTCTCGAAGAGGGCCATAATCTCAGCTTGCAAGAAAGTCTGATTTAAAACTTGGTTAACCAGTCCAAACCAGGACCTAACACCCGTGATGTTCGTGGGAGTCGGGAATTTAAGTATAGCTTCGGTCATTTTTTAGTCGGTTTTATGCTGTCGGCCGTTATTAAAAAGCTAGCAAATTCGACTTTGTTGCCTGCAAACTGGAATTTATCAGGGTTGAATTCCATTCCTGCCGCAGTGGGTGATATAGTCCAGCGTATGCCAGAAGGCCGATTCCATGGTTCCATCCCATAGAAGCGTATCGTCGATGCAGCGGGTAATTCAGGGTGTATCCACAGTGATGTCATCAAATCGGCGGGTGTATCCGTCCCCGGATGCGTGGAACCCTTGAGGTACCGGCTAAGACCCCACTCTGTTATAAACGTGGTTGCATCTCACGCCGCTGGAGAAAGCGGTAAACTATGGTACCCATTCCATGCGTCTAGAACTGTCTTTTTCCTTTGAGCAGGTACAACGGATACTTGGTTGAATGGGGACGGAGTGTGATGGGTTTCTCTCATTGTCGCCGCATTTAATTTCTGTAGATCTACTGTTCTTCTGGGTGACCCATCCTTTTTTGGTGCGACCACCATCCTCGAACACCAAAGGGTAGGAGTGTCTGCCGGTACTGGTTCTATAATGCCCAATGCGACGTCTCGGTCGAGGTCTTCTTTTACCCTCTTCTTCCAATGATGAGGGACAGGTATGGGGGTGTGTATTGCCGAGGGCTTTGCGTCTTGGGTGAACGTTATATCCAGTGGCCTGCCAGTCATCACCTGTAATGGTTGATGGGGACAGGTATTGAATGCGCTAGATTTAAAGTGTTCCTGTAACCATCATTCCAAACAGTCTCTGTTGCTTTCACTAGGTGTAAATGGGATCCTAGAGGGTTTGTCCGGGATATTTGTTCTCCAGGGGCACCCACACAGTGCCTTCTCGCCACCCGTAGTCAAACTGTTGGCTTTCGATATTTGACTCGGAAAATTATTGGGAATCAGTTCTATGTCTTTCAACGCCGACTCAGATAGGTAAAACCCTGATGTGTTCTCTGACACATAAACAACCTGTCTGGTTTCTTTAGGGCCAACCCTGATTCGCATAAAGACTATACCTTTAATCCTTAGTTGGTCGTCTGTGATCCCACGTATCCTATGCCTGGTTGGTATGAGAATGTTGTTGGTGCATCCCAATACTTTTAGAATTTCCGGACCACTTGAACACGTCTGGGCACCGGTGTCTGCGACAGCAAGAATATGGTGTGTTCAGTGATAAGCCCTATCATTCAGGATTCGTCCCAATTTGTTCAGTGATAAGCCCTATCATTCAGGATTCGTCCCAATTTGGCGTGCGACTCAGGTATTAATGAGACTTCAGGGACGGTGGTGGTTCTGGAGGGCTCCTCTGGAATTCGCCCTTACTCCATTTGAGGTGTGGTATGCCTGGTAAGCCCTGTTTTTTATATTTTTTTTTTTATGCTCAGCACTCTTGACTGGTTTTCTCTGGAACTACTTGCTGATTCCTTGGCGGGCTCCATTTTTGGTTTTCGACACATCTTTGAGATGGCCCACCACCCCACAGTTTTGGCATCGGAGTGTTTTTGCCGGACAGTTCTTCCGTCCTTTCAACCCATTGGGGTGTGACGTCTTCCCCCATCCATCGCATGGCCTCCCCCGCAGGGTTCTGGGCACACCCTGAGGCCGCTCCTGCTTAGATCTCAATGCGCTGAATGTTGAATGTAGATCCAGGCTGCTTCGTAAGTGAGGTGTCGACGTATCAGTAGTTTCCAGACTTGTCAACCGATGAAACTTCTGTTCTACCCTTGTAAGAGTATTAGCTTCAGCTAATATCTTACTTTGATATTCCTTGTTTGCAAGTCCGGCGATGGGTTGACCGGCCACCATGTCTTCTGAGTAATTAACAACGTACTGGCAATTTATGTTTGGGCATTGGACAGTGAATTCACAAAACCTCGCCTGGGACCGCAGTCTGGCCCAAAAATGTGTAAGACTTTCCCCCTCATTTTGTTTTACATTGTGAAATCTATGCCTATGCACTTCTTTGTGCAGGCCTTTCACAGCAATGAACCGTATGTGTCCCAGGAGTTGCTCTTCCGTGGCTGTGTTGAGGGCTCCGGGTCCGACAAGGTCGAATAAAAGTCTATTCACTTCCTTTGAACAAGCCGACCTCAGTTCGTTCCGGATATCGGCTAGACTTGTTAGGCCACACGTGCTTATATCGGTCCCAAGTGTCAACGAACAGTGCCCAGTCTCCTTCTGTGTAACCATGCTCAATAATGGGTCTGTCGGGTTTTTTAGTGAGACACCGGTTTGGTCTGTCCTCCCTGTGAGAGCGAAGTTCGTTGTTCTCTCTCTGTAGTTCAATCAATTGTTGAACCAGTTTCAAATACTGTTCACTACCGCCTTGTTGTCCTGAAGTCATTCCCATTAATTTTCAAATTAATCGCACGTAAAAAAAATTTTTGAAATCCTAGTAAGGAAATCCTGTTCGCAGTGCCATGTACAGTTGACTCGATAAAAGCCAAGTCAGCCCTCCCCGACTCGATATTCTAGCAGTATTTATACTGGTCCGAGGACTACCGGTGTTCTTTAATTGGCGTCCCTGTGTCAACGGTCTTCCTGTATCTCTACAAAATGTAAATGGAATTTTGGAAATGTTTTCCTTTTACTTCTCACATTACAACTTTTATAATAATCGAGCTAGTCTTGTGGTTTCCAGCTTGAAAACAATCATATAACAAAGCAGTTTATATTTTATTTTTTATAAATTTATCTAATGGCAACTTGAATTTTGAAGACTTGTTTTTACCTATTTGAAAATAAGAAAATGTTTTAATACATTTTGGTTAGTATAAAGGAAATGCTTTTATATTTAGATACATTAATTGAAATAGTGCATACAAACATTCATTGCTGTAAATACTGGTGTAGGAATTAAGAGAAATATTAATACAAAGTCCTTATTAAAGTTCTGATTATTTTATCAATATTTTACAGAGAATGTTTCAATTTCTTACTTATTAGGGAAAAAAGATCATTTTAAGCTGGACCATATTTTAGTAGAAACAAATAATATTAATAAAGATTGTAGTTTCACTTAGACTAACTTATTCAAAATGCAAGTGTGATTATTTCCATTAGTCTTTTCAGCTTTATTGTTTTAAATTTGGCATAATTTTCTTTTCATTCAAATGAATTCTATATTTACAAAACAAAATTTATATATGTCAAAACACATACTTAAGTTCTTTCTTTTACATTTAATCACATATAATTCATGAATGCATATATATTTTATGTACCTTTTAAATGTTAGTTGCATTTTATCATTGTTAATTTTCACAGTATACATTTGTTTTCAAAAGAATCATTAGATTTCCATATTTGCATAAAAATACACTTGCATTCACGTACATAAAAACTTATCTAAAACTCTAACATTAATCAAAATTTAATAATGAAAATTGTTTAAAAATGGTTAAAAATATTTGGAGATCATCTAGATCATGGCTTGTCAGATAGGTTTGTAAGATAGATTTGACATTATTTGACCCCCAATAGAGAAATAGTGTTGATAATTACAGATGACAATGCAACACAAAAAAGAATGGCTGATAACATGTGATGTTGTTTTTGATTGAAAATGAAAACAACAAACACCAAGATCAGATTTTATATCAGCCCTAAAAGCATTAAAGAAGATTTATGCTATTTTTGGTTATGGGGGTCATTTTGAATATTGACCTAAGCTTACCCACTTTAATGCTGTGAGAAGCTTTGGTGAAAGCAGTGAAAACCATATAGATTGTTTACTGAATTCTCTCTCTCTCTCCCTCTCTCTTTCTCTCTCTCTCTCTCTCAAAGTAAATCTATTCTATGGTGCCATGACCAATTTGATAACCTGCTTGAAGTTGATGAAAGGATTAATAAAGCTTGCATGTTATCTTACTTTTTATGATCATCATAAAATATTTGGTGTATACATGACTAAGCAGACTTATAGGATGAGGGGTTTTGCATTCTTGTCATGGTTTTATTTTTATTTTTTTTTTTTCCAATCAGGGCTTCTTTAACACTAGATTGTATCTGACTGATTTTGATAATCCTATTGAAACATTTCTCAAGAATTTGCATTAGGATGTTACGATTGCTTTTCAACATTTTTTGTGTGAATCAAATCAATGCCAGAAGATTGACCTGATTTCATTTTTTTTAATAAAAATCAGAGGTTACAGTTGGAATTTGAAGTTCAGTATCTGAAATAGAAACAGAATTACAAGTGTTAGTATCACTATACAAATCTTTATAAAAAGTGACCCATCTTTTTAAAATATCTCCCTTCAAAATCAAAATGTTTTCATCTTTATTCTAAATAACCTATCTAATGTTCTTTTTATTGGTTATTAGTTTTTTAATGGCAAAGAAAAATTGTTTATCTGGAGGAAGGATAGAAATGAGCTCCAAATGTTTTTGAATCATCTTTCTCATAACACAAAAGAAATAAGCCTTGAATTAAATCTCAAAACTGTTTCGTTGATAATAGACAAAACACAACTTAACATCCAAATAATGGAACAAAAATTGATCAAGTGACTGATTTTGTTGATCTTGGTCACAAGCTTTCTTGAAAGTTACAGTAAAACTCTGAATAAGCCTTGCTTTCAGAAAACAAAGTGATACTGAAATCAACAAGAGCACCAGTCCACACTAAAACACAGATATACTGTATATACATTCTTCCATTTTTTTATATCGTTTAGATTGTGTACCATGGACTCAAAAACTTTCAGTTGAAATTTTAACTATCCAAAACCACATGATGTACATTATCACAGATTCACAAGCTTAGAGACAAAGTTAAAATAACCACATTTATACATGTAACCAATTTGCCTCCACTCTTTATAACACCATCCATATCAAATCCTTAAAATTCATTGGACAAATTAAAAGATCATTTGCAAAATTTGCTAAATTGTGTCTTAGGATATGATGCCTGGAAAAGAAATAGTAAAGAAATGAGTAACAAACACTAAATATGTTTGCACAAGATTATAATAAATGGCCAGAAATAAGTTATATTAGGTATCAATCTGAAACAATGATGATGCTTAAAATCCATGTTTATAGTTTATTTAACAAATATTGTTGTTACTCACTTTTTACTTATTTGATTTTTATTTTAGGAACTGGAAGAAGATGTGGCTCTGTGGAAAATTATCAATATTCTACGAGGTGTTGGTGCTGTTTTTGGTTGGTTTGTGTTGTCTATAACTCCTAATGCTGACCGATTGAGTGAAAGCCTCTTAGAGGTTACAGACAATGTTATAGGAATCACTGTCCAGCAGGAAAGTGTAATGATTGCATAAAATTACTGAAACTTTAGGGAAAATCCAATATGACCATCCTTGGAGATTTATATGATACCTGCAGAAAATATGTTCTCAGAATAACATTAATGTTTATAACATATGTATTTATATGTATATAAAGTAAATGTCTACTTCTCCTTTAGGATGCACAGGTTGCTTTCAATCAAGTTATGTTGTATGGTCAACTTTTGTTTCAGGATTTCTTTTTTTTTTTTATAAAGGGAATTTTGAGGTTTAAACTACAAACCTAAAAGTCTGAAATTATCTTCACACCAGATATCCATATTTTATGGGTTTATAAGTTTTTGTTAATTGAATAATATACAATTTTGTTTTTCATGGGTTTATGCTTCAGATTTTATTTGTATCATGTCCAGATAATTTCTTCAAAATATCACAGAAAGAGTATACATTTGATAAATTAACTACTAATTGTTTCGATACAGATATTTCCTCATCATTTCTGATAGCATAAATAACACTGGGTTACAAAAGATTTTTTGCTACTGGGGTAAAAGTATTTTTTGCACCAAAATAAGGATACCAATTCTAAATCCATATTCTTAATTTTTCTTAGACATGAGGATTTTATGTTATATACATCCACATGATTGGGGAAACTTTATCATATATAAATTGCACAGGCAATAACAAAAATCCTTTTGCTTCTTACCTAAACAAATAATGTTGTGCTAGACTAAATGTAGTATACTAATTCAAAATCTTTACTCACAATTGTTCTAGCACATTAGGCTTTATGTGCTTATTTATGTTCAGGGTAAAATAATAATAATAAAAATAAAAATAATATATTAATATTATGAAAACTGCTAATTTAATAAACAATATATTATTATTTAATAAACAGTATGTCAAAAGATGGGATGCCAGATACCTCTTAAAATGCACAAGGCATTCTAATGTCATTTTTTTTCTAATGGATTTGAGTGCTGTAAACATGGAATGAGCTTAGTAAGAGATTCTACCAGGACATATCAAGGTCATTTCAACCAAAACATGATAGATTCTGCTAGATTCTACAATGAGGGACCAGCTCAGCAAACAAGAGCAATATCAGAAATAAGTATTTTATATTTATTCAGTTATTTCCAATTTGATTTTTCTTAAACATAAATGTACAACTATCTACTAATAGGCTATTTGTCTTAAACATATATAAACATATACTATATACAATACTAATGTACTACAAATAGGACATTTATCCTTAGTATAAATATTTTATATGCATATCCCAAAAACCTGACATGCTAGAATAATAGGGCAGCATCATTTTTTCTGGGTAGAAAACAAGTTATTTTTTTCTTGGTGTAAATCTAAGGATTCTCAGTTTCTTATAATTTAATTAAGTGAGAAGTGAATCAAATTGGGAATTGATATTTTTTAATCATTTGAGTACTACTAACATTAGTAATGCATACTGTTTTCAAAGGTTTTAATCTTCAGTTTTATACCTATATATAATTTCTAACAATCCAGGTATATTTTGATAGAAAATGTTAACTTTTTGTTGGAACTTTTATTCTCTTTAATTATTTTGCAAATATTGGCTACATTACACTAAAGAAAAGCAAAACATATTTCCTTGCAGCATAGAGGGAGGGTAGGCTACACTTGAGATGTCAAGCGATATTTAGTCATTTCCTTCAAATCATCAATTCAAGTGGGAATTGAGCCTTGAAAAACATGGCTTTTATTATTTGTTAGTGATGCATAAAGTCTGTAATTATTTTTAAAAATTATAAAATGACTTATTATCATTAATCCATATTATTTTTTTACTAATATTTTCATCTTTCCAATTCACTAAATGCTTTCATTGTTTTTCTTATGTGTCTAATTCACCTGATAGGAGCAGCTTTCCTATTATTGAATGTTTAAATCTGGGCATAAAAGATTCTTCCAAGGAGATTCACATTTTACATTATTTATTATCATATATCAAACATAACATAATGTGATACAAGGCCAAAGCAGGTTAAGTATTAGACTAATGAACCATGTGTACTGATATTAGTTTGTATCACAAAAAAAAATTTTGTTTGAATTTTTTAAATGAGGAATTATTATGCAAATGTTGTGTCCCTCTATACCCTCATGCTAGACACTGAGAACCTCCTCAGTAGACCTAGCGTAAAGATGAATACCATCTGGAAGCCTCTGATCAAGGAAGAAAGAACACTTAAAAAGAAATTCCACCAACTGAGTCTGGACACACATACAATCTCACCACCTTGTTATAAACATTAGGTTTAAGGCACCAGAATTTCAACACTAGATTGTCCAAGAGACAGTGGATTAAAATCAATTGGTGAAAAATATATTGAGTTTCCTGGCAGTTGTAAATTTAATTTCTGGATCTAGAAGTGCTGAAACGTCAGATACTGTGATTCCATGGAAGAAATGAACCAATGATACAAAAGTGAATAAGAATACAAACTGATACAACATATCCCTTAAACATGAAAAGTAGAGGAGAACAATCTTTCCCATGGATTGAATGAAGGGGTCAGTTTGAAATTTCAAGAAGGTTACTGATTAGGAAGACAGACACCTGAAGGAGTCTGGAGAGCAGAATAATCAAGAGAGGCATGTTGATCCAAATAACAAACAAAAACAATTCTTGTCATTCACCCAAATCAATACCACATTTATTCTATGGAACTAAAGCTATCTCACCCATATTATATGCAATTGATAATGATATATACATAGACATAATGTAGGAATTGGAGAAAACTTGATAAATTTTCAAGAAAAAATGATTGATTAGCATTTAAAAAGATGATGAAAGTAAAAGTGTTTTAAGACAGTAAAAATTGGAAACAAGGTAAGTTTCCAGATATAACTGGGTTGGTATCAGAGGGAATTTAATTCTTTCTAGACACAGCTTCTGAAAACATTCAAGTTTGGTAGCTTATTTTTCTTTTGAACTAAAGTTTTATAAATACAGCATATAAAATACATACTTTTTTACTCTTTTTTTTCAATACAGAATAAGAAAATATGCAAAACTTTATATTTATGTCTTGAATTAAATAAACAATGTTTACTATAATAATATTTCATAAAAGGAAAGCTAAATCTTTGAAATGTCTTTTCTGCTTTGTCAAAAGGACAAAGACAATAAAGGATGCATATAGGCATCCTTGTTCTGCTTAAATATAACCATGACTTTTGTTCTTGTTTTTATTAGAATCTGTGCTTTTTTTAAACCAGCTTTCTCTTTGTTGATTCTATTTGATGAAAATAATTGAATGTACGCCATCTTTACTTAAGTGATTAGAATTTATATCAATCAAATGAGTAAAAGATTAATTATTTCGTTGGTCTGATGGTCTATCATTTATTGTATGTAGTAAATAATGAAGACAAAAAACTAAGTTGATGAGTTTGTAAGCTCAGAGATAATTGATAACTGATAAATGTATTAATTTAGTTTAAAACCAAATACAGCTTAATACCACATTACTTGTTTTGCAAGATTAACATGTACTCCAATTAATAAACAAATGTCATTTTTCTTTCTATCTAGACCTTTTGGAAAACTATAAGATAATGGTTTCCAATTCATATAAAAAAGAGAAGAAATAATGATAAATGCTACAGAAGCTGAAACAGTAGTCAATAATCATTGAATGTTAGGTTCTCCTTCATTTTGGAACAAAGAAAATAAAATTATAAAGTTTACTGAATTTGATTGTGTTAATATTAGGACTATGTAATGGAATATTTCTCAATCTTGATTTCAGTAGTTGTCTGTATAATAATGCCCAGTCTTGCATTCATGCACATAAAAGAGTATATCTAATTAGCAAAACTTATATAATATCTTCTATTGATATGAATGTTTTCATTTAATTGATTGTAATTTTCAATAATTTGTAACTATAGGAAAAATTCTTACATACAGACTTGGTTTTGATTCAGGACTGGATAATACACTTGGTGGCAAATGTTCAAATACTGAAGATGGATTTTTGGGTTGTACTTTTCCACAAATAATCACTGTTTCATAGCCAGATGGAAAATTCTTTTCTCAAACAACAGTGTTTGGCTTTTCAAGGGTGTTGTCTGAAGATATTACTTTTAACCACCATTCTCAGCCATTTTGATCTTAGAGAAGGCAAAATACATGAACTTTATTTTGTTCTTAGTTATCATAACACAGTACTTCACCATTCTGTGAAAGATTTTGAGATATAAAAATTAATATTGTTTAGCTAAATAGTTATTTTGTAATTACAGAGTGATTCAAAAAATGTGTATGAACCTTAAATTTTAAAGTTTGAAGAATTTGGACTTTGGAATTTAAAATTCAGAATCAAGAATTTAAGGTTTGTGGGAACATGTCATCTTTTAGAGGCTAATGTGTGCATTAGGAGTCACCAAGGCATAGGAATTTATGTTTAAGATGTAGGAATTTTAGGGTTCAGAAAATAAAATGGGAATAGAAAGTAAGTAAGAATTTAAAATCCATACCAACATGCAGCTTTAAAACCACCTAAATTATTGGGTTAACCAAAATGTTTGTTCACTTATTATTTTACTTAATAAACACAACAAATCTTTTTGGCCAACCCAATACATGTTAATTGCCTTGCATCTCAGTAAAATAGAATTCTTTTATTGTAGTGGATTGGTAAATAGGATTGTACCTATTTGCATATGTTAAGTAGAAGAGAAATAAAGTGTATAGTAAAGAGACAGGTGGAGGTTGCCTATGGATCATGTGCCAACACAATGCATCAAAGAATATGGCATCAGTTGGATTAACCAGAATTTCTTGAGATTTGTATCCAGTGTTTTGCAGTTCAGGCTAAGGCTAAAAAATTGATAGACAAGGCAAGAAGGGGAAAAAATGAAAAAACTGACCTTTTTCTAGCTTCTGCAGATTGTGAAGCTATAGGAAAATTTATGTTCTAGCATACCCCAAAGAATTGGAGAATTTGACTTTCATCAAAATTTCAGAAATT